TTTCAGGAAAAAATTAAGAACACAAACGACGGTTATTTATAAAACACGACGCAATAACATAACATCAGACGTAATAAATGTTTAAAATGATGGTACTTAAACAATGACGAAACAATATAAAAGAAGACGTAATAAGAAGTTATTACGGCGATATTTACACTCCGTCGTGATATTTAAATTCAAACGACGTTAATATTAATATAACGTCATGGTATTGAAATTAGCACGACGTGAATAATAAGATACCGTCGTCTATATAAGATTCCAAACCCTTCTTTCTTTGTCTGTGAATGTTTGATTGCAGGTTTGATTTCTTTGAACCATGGTTTTTGTTTTTCCTAATTTGATAAAATACAAAGACAAAGAAAGAAGGTTTTGGAATCTTATATAGACGACGGTATCTTAGTATAACGTCGTGGTATTAACATTCACACGATGTGAATAAAATTAGGAAGAACAAAAACCATCGTCGTCTATATTAGATCCCAAACCCTACTTTCTTTTTCTTTGTATTTTATCAAATTAGGAAGAACAAAAACCATGGTTCAGAGAAATCAAACCTGCAATCAAACAAGAAAATAAAAAAACGACGGTCATTTTAAAGACAACTTAGATCAATTTTTAGACGACACTAGGGCGACTGATGAACCGTCGTGGTCTCCATATTTAACCACGTAAATAAGAAGCTACCGTGGTCTTATTTAGTTGAAGTAGTTGTGTTCAAAGTTGGAAACTTTCCCTCTTGTCTATATATTTTCTCAAACTTGGAAAGAATTAAAATGATTTTCCCCAAAAAAAAGGTAAAAATATTTTCAAAACAAAAACCGTATGAGCATGCAAAATAGCAGCACAAATAGTGAGAAATGAAAGCTTACCTTTTGCGTGCAATGAAAGCTTCCTCTCGGAGTTTGGTGTTTAAGTTCAGACAAGAAGACGAAGACGAGAGAAGACGATGAGATACACTGACAGTTCTCTGACAAGGAAAAAAGACGAAAAGTTTTCTCTCGGAGATTGAAATTTTTTATCGGGTTTGGAAACAGTGCATGTGTAAGTCAGGTAGACGAAAAGTTGAATATATACACAAACCGTTTCATAAAAATAAGACAGCGGTTTACAGAGAACAACTACGTATAAATAAAAAACTACGACGATAATTTGAACTTAGGACGTGGCAAATAAATACGACAGTAGTGTTGTAGGTACTGTCATAGTAAACTCCAAAATAAAAGTCGATAAATTAATATCTCGCGTCATGGTACAAGGAGATGCAAGCCTGGCCTCCACTCGCTGTCGAAGGAAAGTTCGCTTCTCAGCACGGGTCCACTGTGCCATTTCTTTGCAAAGGGAAATCTGAAGATCAGATGTGCCTGATCCTCTGCTTGATTTTCTTGGCTAAGAAGATCCGTCAGATTTGTGATAGCCTGTTCCTTTATCCGTAGAGCTTCAGAAGAAGAAGATGGGTTTTCAAGAATGCGATAAAGAATAGAAATGGCTTCAGATGGCCTCTAAAGCCTGAGCAATCGAATTTGTAAAGATATTGTCAATGCTTTGAACTATCCAAGTCCTGTAGAAAGAGAACAAACCAAATTTGAAACAACAACGGTTTTTTGTTCTATCGTCGTCTTTTTTGGTCGTCTTTTTTGTCGTTGTAGTATATTAAAGTAAGATGGCGGTAGGTTTATAATTACCGACGTAGATTATTTTTGTTAACGTCGTTAAGTGTAATATAACCGACGTGGATTTTATTTTTAAATTATAAATAGAGTTTTTTTTCCCAAGTTCTTTCAGTTTTAGTTTTCAATTACAGTGCGTTATAAATAGAGTTTTTTTTCCCGAGGAAATTTAAAATGACAGAAATTAATGTTCTAGAATTTGTAAAGTTTCTTGTTTGGGTGACTGATTTAAATTAAATACAAATATAAAAACAACGACGGTTTTTTGTTCTACCGTCGTCTTCTTTGTCGTAAGATGGCGGTAGGTTTATAATTTCCGACGTCTTTAATTTCTACGTCAGTTAATTAATTGATTCTATCGTTGGTTTTTTGCTTTGAGACTAAGATGACGCAATATATTTGTTTCACGACGTGGATTCTTTTTGTTAAATGTCGTTAGGTGTAATATAACAGACGTGAATTTGATTTTTTAATTATAAATAGAGTTTTTTTTTCCGAGTTCTTTCAGTTTTAGTTTTCAATTACAATGCACTATAAATAGAGTTTTTTCTCCCGAGGAAATTTAAATGACGGAAATTAATGTTCTAGAATTTGTAAAGTTTCTTGGTTGGGTGACTAATTTAAATCAAATACAAATATAAAAACAACGACGGTTTTTTGTTCTATCGTCGTCTTTTTTGTCGTAAGATGGCGGTAGGTTTATAATTTCCGACGTCTTTAATTTCTACGTCAGTTAATTAATTGATTCTATCGTTGGCGTTTTGCTCTGAGACTAAGACGACACAATATATTTGTCTCGCGACTTGGATTCGTTTTGTTAAACGTCGTTATGTGTAATATAACCGACGTGGATTTGATTTTTTAATTATAAATAGATTTTTTTTCACGAATTCTTTCAGTTTTAGTTTTCAATTAGGGTTTCAACTTCTTCTTCCCCTTTTCTCTGTCTCACCTCACCTCTTAGGAGGCAATTGTTTGGATGTTAGTGTGTGTGTGTGTATGTGTATCTGATTCCCAAACATACACACATCACCAATTTTCAAAAAATTGTCTATCTGATTGCAAATATGTGGCTGCCGTCGTGAAATTTTAGGAGGCAATTATTTGGATGTTGATGTGTGTGCGCGTTTGTGTAGATACACAAACGCACACACATCATCAACTTCCAAAAAATTGTCTCTCTGATTGCAAATCTGAGGCTGCCGTCGTCAAATTTCAGAGGCAATTTTTTGGATGTTAATGTGTATGTGCGTTTGTGTATCTCAAAGACACAAATACACATACATCATTAACCTCTAAAATATTGTCTTTCTGGTAAGATTATGATGAGGAACAGAGTTCCATCTGGTAAGATTTCGTAACCCTTGGGATCTCAGAAAAATGTGATTATGTCGGCGGTTTTCTATATAAACCGTCGTGATTATTTCAATTCTTGTCATTAAGTTGATCTACCGACGTAGGATAACAAAATCCAAGAAATAAATTGTTAAAAAAAATTCTTATTAAGATGACGGTTTAAATATAAGGTATGACGTATAAAGTGAATAAATATGACGTTAAATTTTATAATACGTCGTTAAATGAAAAACCCCAACGTAGGAGAGTTAAAGATACCGTCGTAGAACTATACGAGAAAGACGTCGATATATTTATCTTTGCCGTAGTTGTACATTAATTTAATACGGCGGTATTTTGTATTATACCACCGTGGATTTATTTGTAATTATATGGCGCCTTATACGAAAACTTGGTCGTGTTAATTTCTGAGTAAAAACGGTGGCTTTTTTTGACATCGTCGTCTATACTTTCTATGTCGGTCTATTCATAACTTCTGCCGTTCTTTGTTGGCTTAGATTTTAGTCTGCGGAAATCCCATTTCAAGAAGACGTCGGCTTTTTAATTAGGTGCGTCGTCTTTTATGAACAAGCATTGGAATCTCCCATTTTTAGGTGTCTAAGGTGTTATTACATGGCGGTTTTATAGAACCGTCGTCTTTCACAAAACAACAACGGTTTTTCCTTAGACTGTCGATTTTTTCTGGTCGTCTTTGTCACTTTTTGTAGTAGTGCTAGGATAGATCAATACTAAACAATTTAATTGTTTTGTTATTTACGAAATAGATAACAAATTATTAGAGAGCACATGAACCAATAAAGTATGTTCCAATGTCAGAGAGGGAGTTAAATCAACACTTCTAGCACTAGTGACTGGAGAAGGCACACCATTAGTATTAGCAACAGTAGGGCAAGTAGGAGAACGATGATGGTGAAGAAGAGACACATCAAACGGCATATGATCAGTAACTCTAGAATCAAGAATCCAACCATGATCCTTTTTAGAATCAATAGCAAGGAGAGCCATAAAGGTGAATTAAGTGCAGCAAATTGTGGCAAGGGTAGAAAAAATAAGGATGCGGGGTACGATAGCAATAGCGGCAGAAGGGTAGAAAAAGTAAGGCTGCAAGGTATGGCAGCAGCTTGGTACGGCGGCAGCGGCAAAGAGAAGACAATAGGTAAAAGGCAGCAAGATACGGCTACAAGGCAAGATGCGGTCGCAAGGCAAGGTGGTAAGGGATAAAGAGCAAGGATAGGTGGTAAGGGATAAAGAGCAAGGATAGTAGCAGGAGCAGGATCCTAGGATCACTGCTTTGATACCAACTCAAACAGAATTTAAGGTTATGAATAATTCAATATATTTCTATTCTTCTCATAAGGAGGTATTTATAGTGATACAAATACAAGCCTATCTAAAAAGTAATTACAATAAGGAAAAGGGAAATAAATATAATCCCAGTCAAACTGGTATTCCTATAATTACAATCAATTATAATAAAAGTAAATGTATATAATTCCTATTGTGATTCAGTAATTCACGCCAACAGTCATCACCCTTCCCCTTCCTTTTTTAACTTAATCTCATAGGCATATGGACACTGCTACTTTATTCAATTCAGAAAATGAACTCCTTGTCCTTGTCCCTTGTCTCGAAAACCAATAAGTATCTCACATTTTTCAGCTTAAATAATGTCGACTTTTGAATGTGGTTGTCCTTGGTCAGCAAGTAAGCACCAAAATCCCCTTCTCATTTGTCACACTAGTCTTCACTTAACCAATATATAAGACATATTGGCCTATGTCGTAATGCAGTGACACAGCTAGTTAGATGGCTAAGCATAATCCTGACCTAATTATGTGCCGGAAGCAACTCAGAATAGCCATCGGAAGGTTGTGTGAAAAGTGTGACGGCAATTGTGTAATCCGCGATTCTTTGGTGCGCTCTTGCACACTTGTTTGGGTGTGTGACGATTAATTGGCAATTTCACCGATGAAAAATCTCCTGGTATTTCATTAATGTTTTATGTGGGGTACATTTATCATTAAACTGAGATGAATGTTTCTAGTGTTAGATTCCTTACATGCAATTTCTAGATCTTTCACATGACTTGCAATACGTATAAAGATGTGACAACATACCTGGAGCCATCTTCCTTGAATACACAGCTTCCGAATTCATCCTATGCGTAGCAACAGTGATCCCAGCAACAACAAGAACGGCTAAAGACTTCTGCTCTCTCTCAGAAACTGTTTCAGCTCTCTCTTTATGATGAGAATAGGTTTAGAGAACATGTCTGATGAGAGCAGGGCCTTTAGCTTATATACGGCTAGGTCAAGTCGTCTCTACTCATCACCGAGGCCTACTTGACTTATCTTTCAAGCCCACTTAAATTGGTTCACACAAAAAGGAAACGAAATAGGACTCCTTAATTAGGCTTCAAAACCATTCCTTATTTCACAAGGTTTTGGGCCTCAAGACATAACTTAATCAAACTCTTATTAAACCTTATATGACTTAATATCTAGTGCACCGATCTAAATAGGAAAACATAACATCTAGCTCAGCGAGTAAACTGAGATGTCTCCTAGCAAGTGAGATTGTCCCCGGGAGCAATACCAAGTTGGTTACAATATTCAGTGAAATACGCAACACGTTTCTGAACAGTAGCAGGGTTTCCACCATCACATTCAAGGGCACCATTAATGGCTCGTATTGTTGCACCGAAACCTTCTCCGATGACCGGTCGGACGCTGTTCATCCAATACCACAACGCCGTCTTGAAGGAGATGATGGGGTCATTGGCAACTGTTTCAGGAGAGTTTAATCCGTCGAAGCCAATGCTTTCTCCGGCTCGCCCGTAGTTGGGGTTCCATGATAGTTGGATTGGTCCACGCCCGTAGTAGCCCTTGTTTGGCTTGCATGGATATTGTGTGTTGCTCTCATCACAGTAGTCCTTTGAGGGTCCATCTATCTCTTCTATGTAGCAGAAATCTGCACAGTCAAACATCGTTTTTCCCTCAATTTTTGGGATTCCTTTGCTAATTGCGTTTTTCGGTATATGTAAAATAGCACAATTTAATCAACCTCATATTAATGGCTTAAATATCTATTTATAGAACAACCCTATTTGTATTATCTTAAGTTTTTAATTGGTCACATAGTGTTCAATCTCTCTAATAAAAATAAGACTCGTCTACAAGGGATGTAACTTTGTAGTTTCTACTAGGGGTGACAATTAATGGAGCAAATCAGGCCGGTGTACACCATTATTATCTCCATTTCCCGTTAAGTTTTTCCCCCATTCCTGCCTCCATACCTATAATATTCAAATTGTGGATTCCTCATCCTCGTCGCCCCCATTAAAATAAAATAAAAAACCAATGAAAAAAATTGAAAATTTTGAACAAGAAAGAAAACAAAATATGTATTTTCTACTTATGTTATTGGAGACAGCCGTCAGTTAACTTGATACAAATAAATTAAACTCGCGTCTACCTGTTTGACCGTGGGCACTACTACAACAATCATAATAAACAAAACTAAATATACAACGGCTTTAAAAGATAGCGCTATTTTATCATACGACATCGACAAGTTATCTTTCTGGACCACACACATCGACAATACATCGACATCGACATCGACTTCTTCTACGGTGATGAGACCAACTTGTACAAACATATGCACGCTACAAATTACAAATATATGTAAAAAATGAATAAAGTGGAAGAAATAATTGATGAGAGAATAAAGAACTTACGAAAAGTCTCATGGGTGACATGGGCAAAGAAGGCAGCAATCTCACGCTTAGAGTCATCAATGGAACCAATCTTACCGAACTGATCATAAGACTTGAGAGCCTCAAGAAAGGTAGCTCGGGAATAAAAGTTCTTGCCGACACAGCTTGCATCGGCCTGGCCAATTATGCCGTTGAAGAATTCGGGCGTGACGATATCAGCCACCGACACGTCGCTAGTGCTCGGGCTTTGAGCCTCCACATACCCAGCTACAGCTGCAGCTACAATAATAAGGGTTAGAAATATGTTGCTGGGTACAATGATTTGAGCCATTTTGGTTTCTAAGGCAGGGAATGAGTGATGGAGAATGAAGGCAGAGTTGATTATTATTTATAGTGGAGAATGTAGGCCACATGTGTAGTTGTGGGTTTGAATTTTGTGAGTTGGGTTTCAAAGTGGATTTAATTTTCTAGAAGGAGAGGGTTGACTGACTGGTCTCAGGGTTCACTTTTGACTTTGGCCATGGATGTAGGAAAATTGATCCTCTGTTAAGACTTCTGAAGTTCTGAGGCTTCTTTGCAAATTGGTAGATCAACCTCCATATATTTAATTGACCCAAAAAAAAAAACTACGTAGGCAGTGGCATAACGGAAACATCAAATAAGCTGATAATAAAACATTATTATCTTTTTATATATAAAAATATCTATTGGCTAAAGTGGTGGCGATGAAGTTCATTAATTTCCTGATAAAGTAATGAGTGATGAGTGTATCATGTGTCACACGGCATAATCGTAGTGGAGCCAAAAAACCTAGACTTATCTCGACTTATCTCGGGTGAGCTATTAAGTTTTTTTAAGGGAAATTGGCAACTTTGGCCCTGGCGCAACTAATTTATTCAATAATATCCCCATTTTGAAATCTATCACAAATATCCTCTATAAAAACTCATTATTGACAGTCTATTGCCCATCTGTCACTTTTTTTTCCTTCTCAGTCGTTGCTCTTCCTCTTCCTCTTCTCCCTAATCTCTTTCTCTTCCTCTTCTTCAAACCTCACAGAAAATCCACCTCCATGAATCTCACCTAACTCCATATCCTCTTAGTTATATCTTCCATATCCTATCTTATTTTCTTCTCTCTCTCGCTCCCACCCATGATGACGACAATTATCACCTCCTTGGAAACCCTAACCCATCCCTCTCTCTTGCGGCCACCCTTCTCCACCGCCATCTCTCACTCTCTCTCACCTCTTTCGACTGCTGTTCTTCCCCTCTGATTCAACAAATTTCTCAATTTTTCTCAGCTTTCCTAAAATCCATGGCATCTCAGGTACTCAACTTTTCTACTTTACTTTCACACCCATATGTTATTTGGGTTTTCTTCTGCTTGTTTCAATTTCATATATGGGTTGGAATTTTTGGTGCTTAATGTCACTTCAAGTCCCGCCAAGTCAACTTTGAGTGAGATTGTACAGAAATTTGTTGAAACATAGTTGTGGGTTTAATTTAAATTTTATCTCTTTTTTTTTTAAATTAATATTTTTTTACCTTGTGTAGAGAATGTTATTTAAGTAGGATTATACAAAAACTTGTTGAACCAAAATTTTGGGATTGTGCAAATATTTCTTTGTTTGTCGTAAGGAATATTATGCTTGAAGCTTGAAGCTTGCCCAGGCTACAATGATTTTGAAGTTTTTCTTTTGCTGATTGAATTTTATTACTGAGTTAGGTTTTTATTCTGACAAAAAAACAATTGAAGAAACACAATTATTTGGTTCAATGGTTTCTTGGTTTTATAGGAATTGTGTGATCTAATATAAAGGAACATTCATGCCACTTGAAAGTGTTCCGCATCTTCAAGAATCTATTATGATCTGAATTTGTTTTGTTATGTTTTGGGATGTTATTTTTGAATGAACTACATAAATTGACATAATGAACTACTAAGTGTGCTCTATGCATCCATAATATTCAATCAGCAATGGTGAGCTTAAGAAGAAGCAAACGCTTTATATCCGGTAAGATAATAATAGAAGTTAAATGGTGCAAAGTTAGATTGTGCTTGATGCTCACCACTTACTTTAGTTAACTCCTGTACAATGTAAAACACTTTTTTCAAAGTTAGATTGTGCTTGTAGAGGAATTGGATAATGGATAATGGGTTCACCAATTGCAAGACTGCTTTGTTCATTCCACAATCCACTCTGGAATTGTTCTAAAATTCTTATAACCTTCCTTGTTTCTCTTTCTAAAATTATGTTCCATTGTTGTAGGTTGTTGACGGTAGATGCCATAAACCATATAAGTTATAAGGTAAGAAAAAAGAGTTCTTTGATGACCGAGAAGAGTGTACAAAGGCATTGTAGTATGACAACCATCATCATTCAGTGTTTTAGATTTAGGCTTACCTATGAGTTATTGCTAGGCTTATTGACTTAACCTTTGGTTGTTGTTGGTGTTGGTGCTTCATGAGTTTGCTATTTTTTAAAGAAGGCCACGATAAATGCACCTTGCATATTTGTTGATGAAATTGTTGTTGCACAAACAAAATGTCTTGGAATTCTTTTGTTTCACCATCTCTTTTGTAGCATTCTTTTTTTTTTTTTTCATGACGATTGGACCTAGATATTTTGCTTTTGGAAAAAATACTTTTACTTATATTATGCATTGAAGAGAGAATATTATATACATTGTGTTTTGCCCAGCATTTCCCCATAAGATGGACTATTACAATTTTTGTATTGCTACTGTATAGCCTCATATTGCCTTAGTATTGCTACTATATAACCTTCTATTGCGTTCTTATTGCCACTGATTAATTGGTTTTTGCTATTTTCACTACTACAAAAATCGAAATAGACAACGGGAAACCACCGTCGTCTAGAAGGTTTTCCTAGACCGCCATCTTTTGTACAACTAACAACGATGGTTAATAACCGACGTCGTTAAGTAATTCAACTTCTAGATTTATTACGAACCGATGTGTAATTACTATATAATTAGCCTAAAATGAAATCTTCGACAACATTAGATGATGGTTTTATGAAACCTGAGACGTCTAAAGAGTGTTAAATGTCAAGATCAAAAGAAGAACCGACATATAGATAATTATCCACGTCCTTAAAAGAAGGAAAAACAACTTGGATAAGCTAGAAATCATCGTGGTTAATTTGTACTACGTTAAACAAACCAAATAGCCGACGTCTAAAACATAAACTACGACGTTAACACAAACCAACAGACGTTTAAAGAGTATTGCATGTCATTTGCCTCCCAATAACCGCCGTAACATGATATAACCACGTCCTGCACCTGGCATCACCGACACTTATGTAATTATCCACGTCGAGAACTTTAATAAAAACAGACGTGGTAAGTATATTCAACGTCTGTTACTTGCGAGACTTGTCATTTAAATTTAATAAAGAAGGCCCTTTGACACAGTTAGACGTCACTTTGTCTAAATAACATACGTCTGAAAGATTTAAAATGACATAATATTACTCAATATCGACGTACAAAACTATACCCCACGTCGATTTTTGTCAAAGGATGACGTTATAAATAGTGTTGAAGGCGTGGATATAAAAATAACCAACGTGGATTATATATTCAACGTCTGTGGCGTTAAAATAATGGACGTGGTTAATTATATCACTACGTCTAGATATCCATCTGCTTGACGTTGTAATTGCTTACCACATCGGTTTTGATTACTTAATGACGTGGTTGTCCTTTTAAAAGTCGCTTGTTTAACCTGCCTTGACGTATATATGCTCGGAGATGTCAGTTATTTTAGACTATCCAACGTGCAGAACATCTGTCACGACAATTAATGGAACCGAACGGCCCTTATTTCGACCTTTAGACAATGGTTTATTTTAATCAAAATGACTTGATTTCCTTTTCAGATGTCTGTTTTTTTTGCTTTACAGTCTTTTGCCTTTTAAAACCCGACGTTGTTTTTACTTTAGACGTCTTTGTTGCCAGTTTTTTTACCGGACCGTCGTACTTTACAGCTTTAACCAAGCTTTTTTAATTTTTGATTTGTCATGCCCAAAGCCAGCATATAATGAATAAGTGATTAGAATTAAAATGATGTACAGAATTATTAATTAGTGTCATACAATTAACTGAATAAGTAATGTCATACATTACAACAATCAATCAATCCATATATCTTCACACCCATCTCTAATATTTTAATTCCCTAACTCACCCACTAGGTCATCAAATGTGTCAACATTTGGTATCCCTCTAGTAAATGGCTCACACTCAATTCTAGTATCACTTAGCACATCATCACCAATAACATCATTATATTCTCTATTAGGCATTGATAACACTGCCGACCAACCACGGTGCATTGGGTCGTCAACATAAAATACTTGTTTGACTTGAGAAGCTATAACAAATTGGTCATTCCTATGTCCAATTTTACTCAGATCTACAAGGGTAAATCCAAGTTCATCGACTACAAGACCTAAAGTGTTATCTATCCAATCACACCTCAAGACTGGGATTCTAAACTTTTGGTAGTCAAGGTCCTAAATTTCTAGAATAACACTATAAAAACCCATATTGGAGACAATAGGGTTTTTATCCTTAGTACTAGCAACTTGCATAGTATGTGCAAGTAAATAAACTCCACTATTTTGGACAGTTCACACATCATCTTGTGCCTTGGTGTTAAATTTAACACCATTAATAGATAGCTCCTATATGATGGCACTGCCATGCTTGGACCAGCTGTTAGCCACCTCAAATTTTATGATACGCCATTATGCTCTTCCCCATTAAGTTCACTTTGAACCTGCAAATTAATCATATATATCTGAATTCAATCTAACGTATAGAATGGATGAAAATTAAAAGTTGAATATGCATGTCATTCAATAACATATATATACCTTAAAGTGGAGCCATTGAATGAAAGTGCTATTATGCTTATCTTGTAGCCACTTTGTTCTCTTTCTAAATTTTGGATAAGTGGTCTTGATGTGGATCATATATTCCCTACATTGACACGAAAAAATCAAGCATTATGGTCCCTTGTATATAAGATAAACATAAGGAATAATAATATTTAAAATGGCGCTCCATATGAAAAATAAAAGTCATACGTACTCGATATAACGTAGAACTTCCTCTGTATTCTCCAAGACATACAAATGTGTCTGGTTTAACAAGTCCCGATCAACTAAGCTTACTGTGTAACCTGATAATGACTTCGAAACTCTCGTCTTCTAGCTTGAAAGCACTCCAACTGTACCCCTACAGCTTTTTCAGCTATATACCGCTCAGCAATGCAATCTTCCAAGCGATTACGGTTCTGAACATACTCTTTTAGCACTTTCATATACATT